CCTGGGGCGAACATAGTCGATGGCATGTGGATTTTCAGGGTGAAGCGGCCGCCGGGTTCTCCGCCTGTCTTCAAGGCTCGTTGCGTTGCACGAGGCTTCAGTCAGCGCCATGGAGTTGACTTCTTCCATACCTTCTCCCCCACCCTGAAGATGACCACTCTTCGGGTTCTGCTGCACGTTGCCGCTCAGCGTGACTACGAGCTTCACTCCCTGGACTTCAGCACAGCGTTCTTACAGGGCAGTCTGTACGAGGAGATCTGGTTGCGCCGCCCACCTGGCTTCACTGGGTCGTTCCCTCTTGGTACCCAGTGGAGCCTCCGCTGGCCAGACCATGGTCTCCGCCAGGCGCCTCTCGAGTGGAACGACACACTGAGGAGGACACTTGCGGCTCTTGGGTTTGCTCCGTCGACTGCTGACCCGTCGCTGTTTCTGCGCACCGACACTTCGTTGCCGCCGTTCTACATCCTCGTGTACGTCGATGACTTGGTCTTTGCCACTGCTGACATTGAGGCTCTCGCCCTTGTGAAGTCGGAGCTGCAGAAGAGACACACGTGCACAGACCTCGGTGAGCTGCGCAGCTACCTTGGCCTGCAGATCACCCGGGACAGAGCACGGCGCACAATTACACTGACTCAGTCACATATGGTGCAGCCGGTCCTTCAGCGCTTCAGCTTCACTTGGTCCTCGCCATAGTCCACTCCTCTGGCTACCGGTCACTCGCTCTCAGCTCCACCTTTGGACAAGTCCGTAGAGTCGAGTGGCCCGTACCCAGAGCTAGTGGGCTGCCTCATGTACCTGATGACCTGCACTCGTCCTGACCTCGCGTACCCTCTTGGCCTTCTGGCACGTTACGTGGCTCCTGGTAGGCACGGGAAGGTGCACATGGATGCTACAAAGAGGGTACTGCGCTACTTGTGCAGTACGTCGGGCATGGGGCTCGTGCTTGGAGGGAGGAGCTCAGTTGTCCTCACAGGACACTAAGACGCTTCTTGGCTTGACAACCTGGCTACGCAGCAGTCGTCACACGGTTACACGTTTAGCCTTGGCTCTGGCTCTGTTTCTTGGCGGTCTACACGCTCGTCTTCTATTCTTAGCTCCAGTTGTGAGGCTGAGATCTACGCCACAGCCATGGCTGCACAGGAGCTACGCTGGCTCACCTAACTGCTGACCGACTTGGGAGAGAGGCCTCGTTCTCCTCCTGTTCTGTACGTCGACAACAAGGCTTCCGTTGCCTTGTGTCAGGACCACAGACTGGAGCACAGAACGAAGCACATCGCTCTGCGTTATTTCCTTGCTTGAGAGTTGCAGCAGCGTGGTCAGCTTCTTGTCGCTCACGTGCCCACCCGGGCCAACACGGCTGATGTGTTCACCAAGGCCCTTCCGGCTAGTGATCATCAGCGCTTCTGCAGTGCTCTAGGCCTGGTGCCTACGTTTCCTCACTTGCTGTAGACTCTGGTTGTACTGTGATATATATATATATATGTATATATATATATATACCTGCATGTTTACTCTTGCTAGGTAGTGATCACTTTATTGTTGTTGTTACGTATATACCTCTGTATGTGAACTGGCCTTGTGGCCCTTTGCTTGTGCTTGGAGTGTGTGGTGACGTTGTTATCCACGCTGAGCTTGCTTTGCTTTTCTTGACTGGTCTTGTGACCCCTTGTTCTCCCCCACTTTGCCTATGGGGGTGTGTCAAACCATATATGTGCTAGTTGTGTGTAGGCTATAGTGGGGTAGCCCATGTGGGATACAGCCCAATATTAGGGTTAGTACTTGTACCCACAATTCACTCAATGCACTCATTCCTGCTTGCTATCTTGAGAGAACCATCAGGTTCTTGCTTTAGCAAAAGTGTGGAAAAATATGTTGGTTCAAAATGAGTTGTTTTCCAGGTCACACAAATTTCACGTGATCATGCGTGTGTTTTCACGTGGCACCAACGTTTTGGTTTTGGTTTAAGTTTCCAAGTGCCCAAGTTCTGTTCTGGCTTTCGGATAGCCCATTGTTTTTGGGTTTCGATTTACAAAGGTTTCTCGCGTGGTCTTTCTGGAAGGTGTGCAAAATATCAAGTTTCCCGAGTATCACATGGCAAAATACCAAGTTTCCTGTACATGAAACAAAGTTAGCGAGAGGGAGCAAAAACCTTTTTTGTTGAACCAACCCTGGCGAACCACTTTCAGAGCCGCGAAATCAAACATCACCTCACCACACTTAGATTGGCCTGCTTCCCCCAAGGGATGACCACAATTACACGAAAATACTAAGGCGAACATTCTGTCGCCTCGAATGGTGCAGAAGCGCAGCCAATCAGCACCATCGAAAATGAGCACTCGCATCGCATCCAAACAGCGAGGGGGTATCGAGGGAATAGGGGGGTTACAGTCCGGTGAAGTGTTGAATTGAACCACCAAAACGAGTGGTGGGTAGACATTTGACACCAACCTCAATAGCGACCTGAAACACCTACAGCCTCGCCAAACGTGCTCGATGACGGAATCAACGTAGAGCACGACTACCAACCTTGCTTGATAGAAGGCAGGTCACAACACAAAATTTTATCGCGATGCGCTGGCACTAGGACGCCGCGTCGCAGGAGATGTCAACAGCGAAACGCGACGTTCAGGGCCTGAATGTGAGGAGCACGATTTGCCGAGAAGAGAAGTTGCGTTCCACGAAGTAAGAGCATTGTAGGGGTATTATAGAGAGGAAAAGTTCATTTCGGGTGGGTCCGAACTATACGTAGACAATAGGACAGGTTGGTGGTGTTAGAAGTGGTTTCGCCGCTGCACCGACTTTAAGAGCGAAAAAACGACAAAAGGGATGCCTGGAAAATGCCTTACCTATGGCGGTGGGAAAGAATAGGCTTGAAATTGAGTTTCTGACGGCGGGAGAAGTTAGGTGTGAGAGCCTGAGGAAGAGCTGGTAAAAACGAGGGTTTCAGGAGGAAGAGAAGGGAGAACGTTCTGGACCGCCAGAATTTTCCCAACCTTTCTGGAGGCGAGTTCGGTGGAATTGAAGAAAGTCGGTTTCACCGACGGTTCAGTTTGAATTACGGTTTTTCAACGTCGGTTACTGTTACGAAATTCGGATTCGCGACGAGGCGCGTTACGCGAGGCGCACTTTGAAATTCGGATTTCGGATTGCTTAAATTGCATGTTCTGTTTTCCTCATTGTATCAGATTTTCATAGTGAAACTTTCTGTTTGCAACCTGGGTTGGAAAGCAACCTGTTTGAGCAACTTTCAGTTCAAGTTTGAAGCCCGCTACTGCTACTTTCGTGACTCCTAAGTCACGTGCTTACTACGACTGAGACCAAGAGCTGGTATCAGAGCTGGTTCTAGTGCGTTCCAAGTATCAAAGAAGGGCCAAGACTAGTTCCTGCATCATGCCGAACGGGGATGGTGAGGCAAGCTCGGGTTCTTCAGTCAGTGCTGAAGTTCCCCAAGTCCAAGCCCTCTTGGAGGCTCTAACACAAGGGCAAGTGGTGGCCAGGCCAACGATCGGCCTGAGCGAGGCGCAACGGTTCAATGGCAACAATTACAGCACATGGCGTCTTAAGTTCATGCGGCGGGCAAGAGAGATCGATATATGGCACTTCTACAAGGCGGACGAGGAGACGGAGGAAGGAGTACCTCCACCTGCAACGGCAACGGCACAAGAAAAGAGGACATACAAGAAGAAGAGTTTACAAGCCTTCTTCCAACTATGTCACTCGGTCTCAGACTCCATCGCTGTGGGGCTGGACCAGTTTGCAGACGACATGAATTCAGCACAACGTGCATGGGCATACATGGAAGCCGTATACCTCGGACGGACCGACACGAATCTGACTGCAGTGAGAAAGAAGCTGCTGCTGCTCGCAATGGAACAAACGGAGAAGATTATTGACTATGTCAATAGAGCCAAGAGCTACAATGACGATCTCACAGCAATGGGGGCGCCCGAATCAGAGAAGCACATGATGGGATACATCATCAGCGGCTTACCTAAGGAGTGGACGGCAGAAATCGGAATCTTGACCTGCAACACGCCCAAGGACATGACACAGCTGCTCGAGACCCTCCAGGCGCTTGAGCTGGTCAAAGCTGACCTGAAACGGAGGGAAGCAGTGGAAACGGCAGCAGAGGAGAACAGGCCTGCAAATCTGAATGCAACAGCGACACCAAGGAACTCTGGCAACTGCTACCACTGCGGGAAAAAGGGTCACAAAGCTGCGGACTGTTATTCCAACCCCAATGCAAGAAACTACAAAGGGACAGGGCGCTGGCAGCAAAACAGCGAGACGGGACGTGGAGAAGGCTACAAGGCAAGCAGAGGATTCAATGGAAACTGCAACCATTGCGGCAAGTATGGGCACAAGGCTTCTGATTGCTACCACAACCGAGCTAGCAGAAACTTTCGAGGAAAGGAGCTGCAAAGGCCAGCAGCAGCAGCGAAGACAAACCTGATGGAGGCTCCTACGGCTGTGGAAGAAACACCAAAGGTGGACCCCATCCTTGGAGGCGCCCACAAAGCCAACGTTGCTCGAGCATCCGAGGTGTGCCTGCTGTCCAAGGGATTCAAAGAAACTACTTGGTTTATGGACAGCGGGTGTACACGGCACATGACACACCGGGCTGATTGGCTACGCAACTACCGGGAATCTGGAGTCCCTTATGTCCTACTCGGGGATGAGGGAAAACTTCAAGTGCAAGGAGAAGGGGACCTGATCTTACAGAGTCCCTATGGGGAGCTGAAAATGGACAACGTTCTACTAGTTGAGAAGCTGTCCCTTAACCTCATAAGTCAAACGCAACTGGACAGCAGTGGCTGCAAGACCTTCATTGGCAATGGAAAGCTGTGGGTGTTCGGTCCCACCTGGAAACTGATAGCGGAAGGCGCAAGGACTGAAGGACTTTACGAGATGAAGCTGAAGGAGCAAAATACGCGTGAAGACAAGGTTACCTATCAACCTGAACCTGTGGAAGGGAAGAAGGCCCGAGAAGAGCTACGTACCATGCTGGAAAACACTGCAGTGGCCGAACTGCAGCAGCTGAAACTTCCGGTGGCAGCAGCGGCAGAAGCGGTTGACATCAGCCTTCTACACAAGAGGATGGGGCACGCAAGCACTCAACGGATCAAGGAAATGATGAAGAAAAACATGGCTGCGGGAGTGAAGGTGACGGGAGCTGAGGAAACCCATACTAAGTGCGACTCATGTGTTGAAGGGAAAGCTACAAAAGCTCCCCATCCAAGACATGGACCGAAGGAGCCATATGGGGCAATGGAAGTGGTGGCAGCGGACGTATGCGGTCCAATGAGGGTCACATCACGACATGGCAGCAGATACTTCGTCACGTTCACAGACATCGGCACAAGGCTCACATGGGTGACGGAAATCAAGGATAAAACTCAGGTTTTTCCGAGTTTTGTGGACTGGTTGGCAGAAGCTGAACGACAAAGCGGCAAGCAACTGAAAGTACTTCGAACCGACAACGGCGGTGAATTCATCAACAAGGAGTTCAACGACTACCTAAAAGCCAAGGGAATACGACGGCAGCGTACTATTCCCCACACCCCTCAACACAACAGTATTGCGGAGCGGGTGAATAGGACACTACTCAACAGCGTGCGAAGCATGATAGCGGACAGCAAGCTACCTTTGAACTACTGGGGAGACGCGCTGGGCATGGCTTGCTGGCTGAAAAATCGCCTACCAACGAAGGGACTTGCAGCTGACCTGACACCTCATGAGGCATTCTACAAACGGAAGCCTAACCTGAAGTTTCTTCGGGTATGGGGCTGTATGACGCAATACAGGCCCCCTGCTGGAGCTGATCACAAACTCCTGCCAAGAGCACGGTGGGGGGTGCACTTGGGAACATGCCCGGAGAGCAAAGGCTGGATTATCAAAGACGTGGAGACTGGAATCGTGCTGGCGACCAGGGATGTGACATTCTACGAAAATCTCAACTACGTGGACTGGAAGGCAAGCAACAAGGGCACAACTCCGGGGACAGCTCCTGCCACACCTCAACGAGCGGAGGAACTACTTGAAGTTGCCCAAAACGAAGGCTTGGGGACAGCGAACAATGAAGGGGAAGAAGAAGAGGAGGAACATACCCAACCGGGAGTGGATTGGGTGTGGGAGCCAACTGAGGAGACGCTCAACCACAATGACATGGAAGAGACTCCTGCAACCCCACACCCGCCGAAATCAGCGAGCAACAAAGCTGAAGGCATTGGAGAGGATGAAGCTGACCCAATAGATCAGTCAAGCAATGAGGGAAAAAGCGACCCGTGGGAATTTTTCGAGACAAGCAACAATGACAAAGGAGCAGCAGAGATCGACAACTTGCTGCAGGATGGTGCTATTCTCATTGGGAGAGAGGAAGGAGGCACGAGCACGGAGAAATCAGGGGAGATGGAAGCAGGCACGTGTGCAAGTGATGCTTCGGTGAAAGGAGAGGAGCTGGGAAGAGGGATGCGGACGAAGAAGCCGAATCCGAGATACCAACAGCTCTTGATGACATGCTGGAAAGACGTGCACACTCACCTCCTCCTCACCTCGACGGCAACCGCGTTGATTACCAAGGAAAGGAGAGAGACTTACCACCTGCCACAAGAACCCTTGACCATCGAGGAGGCACTTTCTGGACCGAACAAGGAGCAGTGGAAAGCGGCTATACAAGAGGAGTTGGACACTCTCGCGGAAAGAGGCACTTGGAAACTCGTCCAAATGCCCGAAGGGAGGCACGCCGTTGGCGTCAAGTGGATTTTTAAGATAAAAACAGGTGACATGGGGCAGCTGGAGAGGTTCAAGGCGCGGCTGGTGGCCAAAGGCTACACGCAAGTGGAGGGGATCGACTACACGGAGACATATGCACCAGTCAGCAAGTTGACTACAGCAAGGACACTCTTCAAGATAGTTGCAGCACGCAACTACATCATGGTTCAACTTGACATCAAGAACGCTTTCCTCTATGGCGAACTTCGAGAAGACATCTACATGGATCAGCCTACAGGAATGGAGGACGGAACTGACAGAAAATGCAAGCTGTTGAAAGCGCTCTATGGGCTGAAACAAAGCCCTAGAGAGTGGTACAAGGCTATGGATGCACGCCTGCTCGAAGGAGGATTCCAGAAAAGTCAGTGCGACAGAGCACTTTACTGGAAAGGGGAAGGAAAGGAGAAAGTCTACCTCCTACTCTACGTCGACGACATCCTAGTGGCGGGAGCATTGGAGGACAGAGTTGAGGAGGTGTGTGCTCACCTTGCAGCCGTTTTTCAAGTGAAGCAGATCCCGCGAGCCACGTTGTTCCTGGGCATGAACCTGGAGCGGGACCGAGAAGGCAGGAAGCTGCTACTTTATCAAAAGAAGTACATTCAACGGCTGCAAGAACGATTTGGGACACCAGACTGCACCAAGGCCATGACAACTCCGCTCAGCAGCCTCTCGGAGAAGGAAATCGATCCTGAAGAAGAACTCATCCAATGGGGCAGCAAGGAGCGAGCAGTGAAGGCTTACCAGTCACGCGTCGGATCGGTGATGTACCCCGTCTCTTGTACGCGGGTAGACGTCGCACATGCTGCCAGCTTCTTGGGGCAGAACGTGCTACAGCCAGAAGGCCGCAAGTGGAAGGAGATGCAGCGCACAATCGCTTATCTGCAGCAACGGGGAGAAGAGGGGCTACTCTACGAAGGCGGAGAAGAAACAATGGAGCTAATCGGATATGCTGATGCATCTCATGCATCAGACAAGAAGGACCGGAAGGGAGCTTATGGATACGTCTTTCTCCTGGGCGGGACAGCAATCACTTGGCAAGCAAAGAAGCTAAACGACATTGCACTCTCGAGCGCGGAAGCTGAATACATGGCGTTATTCTACGCCTGTCAAGAAGGAGTATGGCTTCGGCGTTTGATGCAAGAAATGGGGATACACATTGCAGGACCAACTACCATCAGATCGGACAGCATATCGGCCATAGCATTGGCGAAAAACGACAACTGGCACGGACGTACAAAGCACATGGACATCAAATACCATTGGGTGCGTGAACAGCTGGAGAAAAAGGCATTCACCTTTGAGTTCGTACGAACAGAAGATCAAGCAGCCGATTTCCTTACTAAGAACCTTCCGAAGGCTAATTTCGAGCGCTGCAAGTATCTCGTCGGGATGCGGAACCTGCAGGACTTACATGGGAGCAAGGTGCAAGAACAGTGATGAAGATTTTCAGATCTAGGGTTAGCAGCAGCAAACCACAGGGGAGATTGTTAGAAGTGGTTTCGCCGCTGCACCGACTTTAAGAGCGAAAAAACGACAAAAGGGATGCCTGGAAAATGCCTTACCTATGGCGGTGGGAAAGAATAGGCTTGAAATTGAGTTTCTGACGGCGGGAGAAGTTAGGTGTGAGAGCCTGAGGAAGAGCTGGTAAAAACGAGGGTTTCAGGAGGAAGAGAAGGGAGAACGTTCTGGACCGCCAGAATTTTCCCAACCTTTCTGGAGGCGGCGTTCGATGGAATTGAAGAAAGTCGGTTTCACCGACGGTTCAGTTTGAATTACGGTTTTTCAACGTCGGTTACTGTTACGAAATTCGGATTCGCGACGAGGCGCGTTACGCGAGGCGCACTTTGAAATTCGGATTTCGGATTGCTTAAATTGCATGTTCTGTTTTCCTCATTGTATCAGATTTTCATAGTGAAACTTTCTGTTTGCAACCTGGGTTGGAAAGCAACCTGTTTGAGCAACTTTCAGTTCAAGTTTGAAGCCCGCTACTGCTACTTTCGTGACTCCTAAGTCACGTGCTTACTACGACTGAGACCAAGAGGTGGAACCTTTACTGCCCGCGGGTGTAACATCTACGGCCTGACTTGCGACAGTAATCTTCGATAGGGCGACCACGGGAATGCGCGAGGGAAAGGCGTAAACCGTTGCCGGTAGGGAGACAGATGAGAGGTGAACGGAATTCAAGGCCAACGTCCTGCACTACATTTTGTACATCGGCACCCAACTGTAAGAGATGATAAACGCAATCTTGAGCATCGGTTGTAGAGTTGTCTCACTCAAGCTGTAGTTTTAGTGGCTGTCGGCGGCATACACAGCTGTCAACGGACTGCTATAGTCGAGCGTGTTGTCGCCCTCTGTCGTAGCAACTGTCAGAGCCACGGTTCCAACCTGAGGGGCGTCCCGCATAACGCATGCGCGCCATCGCCCTGGTGCCTCAGCATGCGGCGTCACTGCTGTCCAAGTCACTGCATGCGGGACCACTACTGCTTGTGTCACAGCATAAGGTCACTGCGAAGCACGTCATAGCGAGCGGTGTCACTAGTGCTTATGTCACACCTCACTGCTGCTCACGTCATAGCGTGCGGTGTCACCGCTGCTTAGGTCCCATCATATGGTTACTACTGCTCACGTCATAGCGTGCGGTGTCACTGCTGCTTATGCCACAACATATAAGTACTACTGCACACGTCATAGCGTGGAGTGTCACTTCTGCTTATGTCACATCATATGGTCACTGCTCCTCACGTAATAACGTGCGGTGTCACTGCTGCATGTGCTCACATCACATGGTCACTGCTGCCCACGTCATAGCGTGCGGTGTCACTGCTGCTCATGGCACATCATATGGTTACTGCTGCTCACGTCATAGCGTGCGGTGTCACTGGTGATTACGTCACGGCAACTGCGCACTGCGGCTCGTCTCAAAGCATGTTGCCTCTACTGCTTGCATCCCAACATGAGCCGACACTGCTGCCAAGTCACAGCATTATGTTAATTTGACGTTTTATGTCACATCCTCTGGTCACTGATTCTTATGACAGCGGGGGTGCTCACTCCTCCTCATGTCACAACATCCTAACCTTGCTGCTCATGTCAAAGCATGTGGTGTCTACTGTTGGCGTCACAACATGACGCACTACTGCTGCCAAGTCTAGGCAAAAGGTCTATTTCATGTTTATGTCACAGCATCTCATCAATGCTTTTTATGCCTGTCCATGTGCTCACTCCTGGGTATGTCACAGCATCATATCACTACTGCTCATGTCAAATGTGATGATGTGTCTAGGGTTGGAGTCACCACATGAGGCGCTACTGCTGCCAAGCCAAAGCATAATGGCACTAATATTGATGTCATAGTATCCCATCACTAATATTTATGCCAGCGCATGTGCTCGCTCCTACCCATCACACAACATCATATCCCAGTGGCTCATGTCAAAGCAAACTGTCTAGTGCTGGCATCACATCAAGAGGCGCTACTACTAACAATTCACAATATAATGTCTATTTCCACTTTCTGTCACCGCATCTCATCACTGCTTTCTATGTCTGTGCATATGCTCACTCCTGCCCATGTCACAGCATCATGTCCCTGCTGCTCATGTCAGCGGATGTAGTGTTTACTACTGGCGTCATAACATGAGTTGACACTGCTGCCATGTCAAAGCATAAGGTCCATGACCAGTTTATGTCACGTTCAAATCATCAACATTGCTCTTTATGCCTGAGCATGTGCTCACTCGTGCACATGTCACAACATCATACCCCTGCGGCTCATGTCAAGGCATGTAGTGTCTACTGCTGGGGTCGCAACGTGACGCACAAGGTCACTGCTGTTTATGTCACAACATCTCATCACTGCTTTTTTTGCCACTCCTTCTCATGTCACAGCATCATATATCTGCTTCTCATGTCAAAGCATGCAATGTCTACTGCTAGCGTCACAACATGAGCCGACACTGCTGCCATGTCAAAGCATAAGGTCACAGTTGTTTCCTGTCACGATATCTCATCAATGCTTTCTAATCCTTGAGCATGTGCTCACTCCTGCTCCTGTCACCGCTTCAATTAACTGCTGCTCATGTCACAGCTTCATATAACTGCTGCTAGTGTCACATGATGTAGGGTCTGCTGCTGGCGTCATAGCATGGGGCAACACTTCTACCATGTCACAGCATAATGTCTCAGCTCTTGATGCTCAACTCACAGCATATGTCCGCCAACTACATGCATCATAGTGTGCAGTGTCACTTCTGCAAATGTCACAGCATGGCAGGGTTGCTGCTGCTCATGTCTAAGCATGTAGTGTCTGCGAGGGGTGTTACAACATGAACCGACATTGCTGCCATGTCAGAGCATAGGATCACAGCTCTGCAGTTCATAGCACCATACCATTGCTCTGTTATGTCACAGCATGTGCTCACTCTTTCTCATGTCACAGCTTCACATCACTCTACTCATGTCACAGTATGTAGTGTCTGCTGCTGGCGTCAATGAAATTAGGCAACAAAGCTGCTATCTCACAACATAAGATCAATTGGCGCTGGCCCTAGCATCATATCACTGTTTACTCTTGTCACCACAAGTGCTCACTCCTCCTCGTGTCACAGCATCATATCACGTTGGCGCGTGTCAAGGCATGTAGTGTCTACTGCTGGCGTCGCAACGTGACGCATGCGGTCTATGCTGTTTATGTCACACCACCTCATCGCTGCTTTTTTTGTTTGAGCATGTGCGCACTCCTGCTCGTGTCACGACATCAAATAACTGCTGCTCATGTCAAAGCATGCAAGGTCTATTGGCGGCGTCACAACATGAGCCGACACTGCTGCCATGTCAAAGCATAAGGTCACTGCTGTTTCCTGTCAAAGTATTTCAACAATGCTTTCTAATCCTTCCTGTCACAGCTTCGCATAGCTGCTGCTCATGTCACGGCTTCATATAGCTGCTGGTCATGTCACAGCTTCATATAGCTGCTGCTCATGTCACAGCTTCATATAGGTGCTGCTCATGTCACAGCTTGAGACTGCTGCTGGTGACACATGATGTAGGTTCTTTTGGTGGGGTCATAGCATGAGGCTACACTGTTGCCATGTCACAACATAGGACTCTTCTGCTTATGCCACAAAATCGGATTACTACTCTATAAGTCGCAGCATGGGCTCTCTCCTGCTCATCTCACAGCATCATACCACTGCTGCTCTTATCACATTACGTGCTCACTGCTGCTCATGTCGTCACCATGTGCTCATTGCTGCTTTTGTCACAGCTCGTGGCCTCTGCCATTGATGTCTCAACAATAGCATTCTGATGCTCGTTTCAAAGTGTGTGGCCACTGCTCCGCATATCACAGCATGTGCTCACTTCTGCTCTATATCCCTCTGTTGCCCATAACGACATTGCCTCCCATCATGGTGGTGCAGTTTGCTACTCATGGCTCAAGCGACAAGTGCAGGGTTACATGCGGCAACGCAAGCATGCAAAGATGCAACGACGGGAAGCGTGAACATATCGCGGCACATGCGACCGTTACTATGCGTGTTACGCGTGGGGTTGTCCGCCTTGTTTGCTGGCGAGAGGGGGGCGACGCCCGACGACGTGATTCATTTCTTAGCGGAGGCAGCACCTGAGGCTACGTCACGGCTCATCAGGGCTGGCCTAGCCGCTGGTGAGTTGGGTTATTGATGGAATGTCACATGCATGCGAGGAACTAGCGCACAGTTGGCGACTTATGAAGTGTGCGCAGTTGGGGTCTTGAAAAGCGTGGGCTCATTCTTTGCGCGCGCGCCTTGGTCCACGCGCGCGCCTTGGTCCGCGCGCCCTGGTCCACACGCGCGGCCTGGTGCGCGCGCGCGCCCCTGTGTTGACGCCTGCCCTGCATTCTCTGCCTTACCGCCCACTCCCAGTCCCCACCCCCCACTTTCTCCTAACCTCCCCTCCCCCCTCCAGCGACCCACCATAGCTCTGGTGATGGGACCCAAGGGCCTCATCAGCCGCCTGCTTGACTCCAGACCTGCATTGCCTGCCCCACTCTCCCTCCTCTCTTCCCAATCTCCCTCCTCTCTTCCCACTCTCCTCCCCTCAGTGCTCCACGATAGCGCGATGATGGGTCCCAAGGGTCTCATCAGCCGTCTCCTCGCGCTTAATCTTAACAACTCCTGCCCTGCAATTCCTCTCGTACTCCCTCCTTCCCCTCCCCAACCCCCACTCCCGTGCCCCTCACACTTTCCCTCCCCTCCGCACCCCACCATAGCGCTGGTAATAGGACCCAAGGGCCTCGTCAGCCGTCTCCTCGCACCCAGATTCAATGACCTGTATTCTGAAATCTGCCTTACTCTACCCTCCCCCTTTCCCCCCTTCCCCCCAACGCCCCACGATAGCGCTGGTCATGGGACCCA